CAATACAAAACATTTCCAGAATGCTAGCTTCCAACTACCAGAAAAAAGAAAAAAAAAAAAATTTAAAGCAGATGAAGTCCTGGAAACATGCTTTTGCTTAGCTTTAGTTTAGCCAAGGAGACTCTTCCACCCCACCCCCACTTTTTAGATAATGTGTTTCTCCACTGCTGCCTCCTTGTTCTGCATGGAGGAGTAGGTAAATGCATGAGTATGGGGTCAAGGTTAACAGCAGGTAAGGAGAAAAGTCTCAAAGGAGAATTTAACATTGAAGCCTATGGAACCCCTCACATCAATCCACCTACATTAAGTGAACTCTATTTAGAAGTCACATAACCAAGTAATAGTAAAAAAATCATTTCACAACCGAGTGAACTCTCAACACTGCCTCACTCTGTGACCATGGGCAAGTGACATAGCCATCATGTTTCTTGGTTCTATCAGCCATAAAAGGAAGGAGTTGAATTGCATTGGCTTCTTCTTTTAAATCAATTAATTTTGAAAATCAGTATCTAAAATTGTATGAATTTATCCTGCACAACATGATGTTTTGAAGTGTATAAACACTGTGGAATGGCTATATCTAACTGATTAGTGAATTCATTACCTCTCATAGTTATAATTTTGTGATTTTTGAATTATTTTTTTTAGTTGTTGATAGACGTTTATTATTTTTATTTATTTATTTATATGCGGTTCTGAGAATTGAACCCAGTGCCTCACACATGCCAGGTAAGTGCACTATGGCTGAGCCCCAGCCCCAGCCCATAATTTTGTGATATTTTTTATGGTCACTTTTGAGAACACTTAAGATTCACTTGCTTAGCATTTTTCAAGAATGCTGTATATCCTCATTAATTACAGTTACCATGATGCACAATAGACTTCTTGGATTGATTCCTCTAACTGTAAATATGTATCTGGTTGATTTCTTTTCTTTTCTTTTTGGGGGGGCGGGGACCAGGGATTGAACTCAGGGGCACTCGACCTCTGAGCCTAATCTCCAGTCCTATTTTTTGTATTTCATTTAGAGACAGGGTCTCACTCAGTTGTTCAGCGCCTCACTTTTTGCTGAGGCTGGCTTGGAACTCTCAATTCTCCTGCCTCAGGCTCCCGAGCCGCTGGGATTAGAGGTGTGCACCACTGCACCTGGCCTCACATCAGATTCTTAATTTGGAGTCTGACAATGTGCATCAGAAGGTCCATAAACAGATAAAATTATAAGTAGAATGATATGAATTTTTCAAAGAAGAAATTCATGGTTTTCATCAGGTTCTCTATTCATGATCCCAAGAGAAATGGTGGCCTACTGAATTACAGAACTTTTTAATTCCATTTAGCATTAACATTCCACGTTTCTCAATTTATGCATATTTTGGATACACTTTCACTTGATTAGACAACTTTATTTTATACTATGTTTAGCTTTACTCAGACTTCAAGGTGGTAAGGCTAGAATCCAGTGTGAAGTGAAAATTATAGTTCATCTTTCAATTATAAGAGTTTTTGTGCCAGGCGCAGTAGCACATACCTGTAATCCCGGTAGCTCCGGAGACTGAGGCAGGAAGAACACAAATTCAAAGCCAGCCTCAGCAACTTAACAAGGCCCTAAAGGACTTAGAAAGATCCTGTCTCAAAATAAAACATAAAAAAGGCTGGGGATGTGGCTCAGTGCTTAAGCATCCCTGGGTTCAATCCCTGGTACTACAGCAAGGAAGAGGTTTTGCAAAAAAAGGTATATATATTGATATACATATATATCCTTAAATGTGTGTTTAGATATGTACATTATACATGTGTCTTTGCATACACAAAAGCTACATAATGCACAACATTTTAAAAAAATAGTTTAATATTTCATGTCAATAAAAAATTCTGTAATTATGTGAAACTAGACATAATTTAATGGTTTCATGGTCCTCATTAAAATATTTTTAAGTGAATATATGATAAGGACAATTATATGCAGTGTTATCACTATATGATTCTGAGGCCGATTTCAGTAAGATAGTCTTAAGAAGTAGATTGGAAAGAAGTGGGGCAAAGTCATAAAACTCTAATTCCAAGAGTCCCAAACTCATCAATACGTAGCAATATAGCTATAATTAATTCAGAATCTTCAGATCCTCGCTACCTGTTTGACATCAATAATGCAAAAAAAATCTGCTCACATTCATCTCCTTGACATTGGCTATTCTTTCAAGAGACCACTTGGGAATGAGCTGGTGGTAATGCAGGTTCATGGCACCTTGTTGCTTTAGAAGCTGACTGTAGAATGGTATTGGGAAATTCTGTCTGGGAACGAGCTCTATGGCAGTGTCTTTGCCAGGGGCACTAAGTCAACATGCCAGATCACATCCCTCTTTCCTGACCAGTCTTGATGAGCAAGAGCCCATCTCACTGGTTCTGGGTGCTCTGCGATGATGTGCAACAGAGATACCACACCCACAAAACAAAATCATAGCCTGGCCCTGCCACTGTGGAGAAAAATTTATTTTTATTTAAAATGTGGTTAATCTTGGAGTGTTAGAGTGCCTATAAACATCTTGCAAAAGGTTAAATTCAGTCATCTAATCATGAGATTCCTTATCTCTTTGACTCTTTGAAAGTATCGCTGCCACATGTTTTATGTACAGTTAAAAAAAAAAAAGTGTGCAGCTTTGTCCCTAAAGAACTCAGTGGATTTTCAAATAAAGACCAAAATAAAACAATTAAGTAAATTTGGGACAATGGGATAAACACAATGTGCTACACACATATAGTGGAATATTAGTCAGCTGCAGAGAGGATAGAAATTTTGAAGCTTGCCACAGCATGGGTGGGCCTTGGACACCTTCAGCTAAGTGAAACAAGCCAGTCACTGAATGATTCCACTTGGCTGAGGTGCCCAGAGTTGTCAGAGGAAGTAGTTGTCAGACAGGAAGTCGAATGCCAGTTGCCATATTACTGAGGGAGGCAGGCGCAGGTGGGAAGTTAATGTGTCATGGGGCCAGAGTTTCAGTATGAGAGAATTAAAAAGTTCTGGAGATGAATGTTGGTGACAGTTACACAACAGTGTTGGTATGTTCTTAAACAGATGTAATGCCACTGACCTGCACATTTAAAAAATGGTTAAAGTGGTAAATCTTGTGTGTTATATACATGTACATATATTTTATGTAAATAAATATATATAATAAATAAATACATATTTTTTAAACAATACTGTTGAGTTGGAAAGAGGAGGAGATGAGGGAGAGGAAGAAGGAAAGAAAGAATCATGATGAAATGAAGGAAATTTGAATATTTGCTAGATATGCAATGATATAAAGGAAGCAGTTTAAAGGCTCTGACTTTTAGTAGTACATACTGAAATATTTATAGATGAAATGATGTCTGTGATGTGCTTCAGAATAACCTGGTGAGGAGTAACAGGGGAGGTACAGATGAAATCACTTTTGACATGAGTTGATTGAATGTGAAAAGGGAAAATAAGAATAGTCTTAAGCAAATGACTCCTCCAAGTCATTTAGCTATGTCTTGTGCTGGTTACAACTTATTTAAAAGAATTTACTATTCCTCAATTTTAAAAAGTCTCTTAAGTGAGAAAATTGGTACCTTGTAACAGTGGGTGACTCAGTTACTGCAAGTCCTCTTTCAAGAATACATTCCTCTGTCATGCTAAGCGAAGTAAGCCAATCCCAAAAAACCAAAGGCCTAATGTTCTCTCTGATAAGTGAATGCTGATCCACAATGAGGGTAGGAAGTGGAGGAACTTTGATTGGTCAAAGGGGAGGGAAGGGAGGGGAAGAGGCATGGGGGCAGGAAAGATGGTGGAATGAGATGGACATCATAACCTAACCGGAGCTCCATGTATGACTGCACATACAGTGTGACACTACATCATGTACAAGCAGAGAAATGAAAAATTGTGCTGCAATTGTGTACAATGAATCTAAATGCATTCTTCTGTTTATATATATATATATATATATATATATATATATATTTAAAATTAATTAATTTTTTAAAAAAAGAATGCATTCCTCAGTCTGTGTCATGTACTTCATAAAAGATCTTTGTCTCAGCAGAAATTTATGGTCTATATGTAATTTACCAGTTAGTGGTTTTATTAAAATTCATTCCTCATTTAGTTTAAAAATGGATTATGCCATCTCAAATCCAGGCAAACATGGGAGGAACTTTTTGGCAGTGCCTGTAAAAGATTTTCTCAAAATCCAATTTTACTTTTGATTCTTTAGACAGTACTAGAAATGATATGAACCCAAAATACAATATGCCCAAAAGATTAGACAATCTCATTTTTTCATCAGGAATTCTATTCTTAGGGAAAGTGGTCCTTAACTTTGGTTTCATTTTTTGGAAACTTTAAAATAGGAATTCCTGGATTCTACTCTGAGAAATGCTAATTTACACGATCTGGGATGTGGGAAGCTTTTAAAGTGCAACCAAGATGGAGGTCCTCATAGAAGAGGCTCAGTTTATGGGTCTCCCAAGTGGAGACCTGGGATTGGAGTCCCATACAGGAGGTAAAGCCAGAAGACCATGGATATAATGTTTTCGGGCTTCCTCTGTAATCCTAGGTAGTTTAAGCTATTTCAATGTTGTCATTAGTAATATCTTACAGTATTCTTCACCTTGGGGTTATTTCTCAGCAGGATCTAGTTTTCAGAGGCTAAGATATAAGTTCAATTGAACTAAACTAAAAAGGATGTCAAGGTGACAGCACCTTGGATTAAGTGTGAGAAATACTTAAACTGTAACACAAGCTATAAAAATGTGAGATACAGTTATTATGAATCATAACATTGACAGGACACATGAGCCATACAGGACGAAAGTAGTTATTTGTATGACACAGCCTGCCTTAAAAATAACTCTTAATCAAATACACACAAAAGTTGTCTGCTTTTATTTTGGAAGTATTGTGATTTCATCATCCATCTCTCCTACTTGCTGGAAAATGAATGTCATTTTTTTTTTTTTACTCCTGGAAGTTCTGATGCCTACAGTATAAAGCAAAACAGAACCCTTCTGCAACACACTAATTACTAAGTTAACAGCGCAGACCTATGCATACGAAGAGTCATACCACATATGGTTTTGCTTTCTATTACATTCTCACACCTGGTAAGTATCTGGTTTGCTTACTTGTTAACTCTGCATGGTAACAAAAGTAACATAGGAAATCAGATACAAATGGAGAATTTACTGAAAAATAAATTTTAAAAAATTAGCAAGAAGCAGCCCATGAATTCAGCCCTGTGAGAGCTAAGACTAGAAACTCTGCTCTCTCAGGGTTTCAGCCTGCATTCTGTTGGGTGCTTCCAGATCACCTCCTTCTCTGCATAGCCTGGGTCCTGGTTTCTTGTCACATGACTACTTAAGCCCTTTTATGGAGTCATTTCCCCCCCCCCCCAGCTTTGCTTGGGGCTGTTGGGCTTGTGCTTGGTACTGAGTCTCTGAAGCCACTGGACTGGTGTCACCATTCAACACCCCTATTTAAATACTCCTTTAGTTCCTCCTGTTTAGTCTGGCTCATTGGGTGTTGCCCATAAAAACAGTTTGGCTTTTGTAATCACCATTAGAGCAGAGTGTGTGACTAATCAGTCACTTTGCTGCATCTCTGTTATCTTCCACCAAGTGAGTCAGTTTCAGCTTTGGCTCTTTGCTCATGTGTCACTCCCTTCTCTCTGATGTTCAAGTCCATATTTGTTCCTTTTTTAAAAAGCTTATTATTTTTTTTTTCTCTACAAACACAGGCTATATTCTCTCTCAAGAGTGGAACTAACTCCACAGAAATCTGGAAATTTTCAATAACGCTGACTCACTATGCAGAACTCCCAGGGCAAGAAAGTCATTTGTTGTGTGCTGTGGGGGACTGGTACCAATTAGACAGTCACTTCAGGTCATCTTGCATGTGTTGAATATTTACAATGTGCCAGGTGCTTTGCATTTATCATCCTATTAAAAATAAAACTTATGGATAAGAGTTGTAATGCATTCCGCTGTTATATAAAAATTTTTTAAAAAGGGGAAAAAAAGCTAAAAGAAGATAATAAAATCACCACTCAAACCAAATAAAAAATAAAAATGAAAAAATAAAACTTATAACAAAAAAAAATTATAATGACAGTACAGAGTTCCCATGTATCCTACATCCAGTTTCCCTAATATTAAGATGTTACAGCATCATGATACCTTGTTGCAATTAACATAATGCCATAATAATAATATACTACTATGGACACATTGTGATCAACTTTAATATTTCCTGTACTTGTTGCCCTGATTTTTGCCTATCAAGTTTTTTCTGTTCAAGATATGATATTACATTTAGTAATCATGCTTCCTTAGGCTCCTCTGGTTGTGACAGATTCTCAAGTTGTTTGTTTGTTTTAATATTTACTTTTTAGTTGTAGATGGACACAATACCTTTATTTTATTTATTTATTTTTATGTGGTGCTGAGGATTGAACACAGGGCCCCCAGCCCTGTTTTTTTTTTTTTTTCTTTTTCTTTTTCTTTTTCTTTTTGATACATTTGACAGTTTTGAGAAGTACTAGTCAGGCATTGTGTAGGATATCCCTCAGTGAGATTTGTCTAGTGTTATTTGCCTGGGAGAAAGACCACAGTTGTAGAATGTCATGGTCATCACATCACACCAACATGACTTATCCTGTGGCAGTTACCTTTGATCACCTAGCTGAGGAAATGCACGGCAGGTTTCTCTACTATAAAAATCACTGACACCGCCCCCCCCCCCACCGCCCCTTCCATTCTGCATTTTTGGAAGGAAGTCACTACACAGCCCACACTGATTATAATATACCTCCTTGAAACAGGATATTTGCATAAATTATTTGAATTTCTTTAGTCATACATTTATATCAGTATAAATGCAAAAAAAAAAATTAATACTTTGGGAGACAGTCCAACAATTCATTATTTATTTTCTTGCTCCAACTTTCCCAACTTTGGCCACTGGGAGCTCCTTCAGTTGGCTCTTGTCCTTTGGACATGCTCCCTCATTTTGGTGGTAGTAGGAGGGTGCACTCCCTTAATTTCTGGCTTACAACATGCTCCAGCTTCTTCTGGTGTATTTCCTGCTCCACTCCCAGAATCAGCCATTTCTCCAAGGAGCCCAAGTGCTGGTCATTGGATGATGGTATTACAAATCAAGATCCAAGCGCCAGGGATGGTTGTTCTTGCTGGGGTGTGTTCACCTCTCAGCTGAAGGAGAAAGGAAATATCTGTGCGTGTGCTAACCCATGTATTTACACATATCCATAAATATTTCTATCATAGTCATTAGCATCTGTATTAAGCTAAACATGAATCCACAAGATGCCTCCAACTCTATCCATTACCACATGGAACATTCTAGCCTCTCCCCCTTGTTCCAACAGTAAGAAATGTGACTCCCATCGTCCACCATCTGTTTATTTAATTGTTCAATTCCAGTAAACTCATTAGCAATATCAGAATTGTCCTTAACCCATGGGAGGCAACTTTATCTGCTGGACTCCTATTCCTGTGTTGAAGGGCATTGTTCTGGATGACCATGAGCATGGTATCATTCTACAAATCTGATACCCAGGAGGAAGGAGAGATAAGAAATGATAGTGGTCTCCACACAGGATGCAGTGGAGTGGCAAGTCAAGGAAGGGAAAAGTGTAATGGTTCTATTTTGAATTTTAGCTCAATTTCTATGAAAAGGTCAGTTTTTTTCTCCCTTAAACTATAAACTTTGGACCCAACACTCGTCTCCCTCCCTTCCTACTGCACTTCTCAGACATCATTACCAGAAGTAGGTGGAGAAACCTTAGTGAGCTCTCCAGAAACCATGAGTTGGGAGGACACAGCGGGGATATTTAGTGGAGATGCTGGCTGGCAAGATCAGCAGAGGGTGCTGACTGGTCTAAGATATTAATGCCACAAAAAAGAAAGAATCATGGGAGACGTGATGGGCTTTTACAGCTGGCCCTTCCTGAGGCCCCTTTGCACCTCCCACTGTGTGTTCCCCTTAATTGGTCTTTTATGAAATCAATTGTCAATGTGCTCTTTTCACCCCTGACAGTTGGCAATTCTAAAAACAAACTGATGGCCATTTTCCTAGTCTGACCTAGGAAAGCATTATGCCAAGATTTAGAAAAGAACAAGTAACCTCAACAGGGAAACACAAAGATCCTCCCAACACATTAGAAATTGAGAGTTTGATATTTTTGGGCGGGGAGGGTACAGTGGAAGGAAAGGAAGTTTTGGAGACTCAGTCCCCTGGGTTTGAAACCCAGCTCTGCCATTTAAGAGCTAAGTACCCAACCCTGGGCAAATTTTTTGTTGCTCTTTATATAAAATTGATATTAAATTATTAAATAAGACTCATTAAAATTGTTACATGATATAATTTTCTCAATATTAGAAACAATACATGATAAAACCCATAGAATTTTATAGCACAAGAAGTAAGAGCTTTCATGTAGGCAAATTGGTATATCATTTAGGAGGTGGAGGGATCCTGGGATAAAATGCTGGATATGTCAAAGCAGTCTTATAAGGAACAACCTCATGAAAGAGAGGAAGGAGAGATGTCCACTTTGTAACTGGAAGTTGGAGGAGTCTGTTAAACTAGAGGCCAAAGAGCTGTTCATAAGCACTGTACCCTAGTTGGCACTGGAATGTGAAACTTCCAGAAGTCTCTCTCTCTCTCTCTCTCTCTCTCTCTCTCTCTCTCTCTCTATATATATATATATATATATATATATATATATATATATATGTATGTATGTTGTAGTTGGACACGATACCTTTATTTTATTCATTTTTATGAGGTGCTGAGGGCCTCGCATCTGCTAGGCATGCTCTCTACCACTAAGCCACAACCCTAGCTCCCAGAGTTGTCTTTTAAATGAGGGAGTACCCTCCTCAGCTCTTCCCTTCTTTTCTATTTCGTAGAATGAGGACAGAATACCTGGGGAGGCGCAGCCATCTTGGACCCCAGAGGGTAGAAGACAAGGATTGAGGAGGATAAAACAAGAAGACAGAAGAATGTGTCTTCTTCTCCCAACCAGGAGTTACCATACCAGCTACATGTATATGAAATGAACACAAGCTTCTGCCTTGTTTGACTCACTCTTATTTTTGATTTTCTGTCACTCACAGATGAATTTAATCTGAGTTAATACAGACTTTACTTATATTCCTTCCTTCCTATCATTTATCCCTCCTCTAACTCCTGCATCCCTCACAAAAATTAGGTCACATAACTTTTCATGATGTAAATCTCCCTGTGAGATACTGTGAGTATTCTGAAGCATCTAATTCTAGCCCATAAAAGGGGGAACACACAGTGAACATTCGCAAAAAGATTGTGCCCTTGTATGGAATAGTAACTAAATAGTAAGTAGCAAAATGTGTAGTTGTAGACACAAAATGATAGATGTGGACCCCAACAGGTTCAGGGGAGCCGTTTATTCATTCGTGGACTCAGGCACTATAGAGACTCATTTTATGGATGCAAAAATGGCCATCAGCTACAGAGGGGATTTTAGTTTTATAGGGTACAGTTAGGATAGTTTAATCATTGGAACTTGTGGACGTGCGGTTCGGATAGTTAGGGGCTAGTTGTGTAGGTTAAAACTTTAGCTCAGGAAGGCAGCTGTAAAAAGGTTAAAACTCATTATTACTTGGAGAGATGGGAGCCCAGATTTTGAGAGATGAGTACTTAAATTTTGCCCATTGTTGTTTCTTTTTTTTTTTTCTCTAGGACTTAGGTCTCCAGAGTTTCTATATTTACAGTGTCTCCACTAAGGACCAATTTGCAATGGGGGAAGGTCAAAGTCCTTGAGCCCAGCATTCCTATCCACCTCCCTTTAGGGTCCATTGTTCTTGAGAAAGGATTAATCAGGAGGTTGATGCTTGACTAGTTTCCCCTCCCTTCTCCGTAGCTGCACCTCTCTCCACTTTTCTTGGGGGTGGGGGGCTGTTTTGTAGGAATATTATTTTCCATAAGTTTTCAGTATTAACTCATCATCTTTATAACAGAGTTTTAAAAGAGCCAAATAACAATATAAATTTATTTATACTGTTATTTATATCAAAATCACACACTTGTTGACTTGAGGAGAAATGGAAAGAAGAAGAACCTGAACAAATGTAAAGCAACACAAGTTGCTTTGGGGGCTGGGGTTGTGGCTCAGTGGTAGAGCACTTGCCTGGCATGCACGAGGCACTAGGTTCCATCCCCAGCACCACATAAAAAACTAAATAGCACCAGTGCAGTGGTGCATGCCTGTAATCCCAGTGGCTCTCCAGAGCCTGAGGCAGGAGGATCCCGAGTTCCAAGCCTCACAACAGCAAGGTGCTGAGCAACTCAGTGAGACCCTGTCTCTAAAGAAAATACAAAATAGGGCTGGGGATGAGGCTCAGTGGTTGAGTGCCCCTGAGTTCAATCCCCAGTACCAAATAAATAAATAAATAAATAAGCAAGTAGCTTTGATTTGGGGGCCATAAATTTTGAGTCTATAATAATGAAAACATTAGGAAAATAGTCATTCATCAGTGTTATGTTGTTTTCACTTTATTTCTATGAACAGTTACTAATCTCTCTTCTCCCCTAAATGTTCGTCTTTACACTGGATTTAGGAATCAAGATTACTGTCTGTAGAACAAGTAGATAAGGAAGATGGCAGTTAATAGTTGCTAGGTGTCCATTGTGAAACTGTTACCTAGCAACAGTTCCAGACCCCATTCAGAGGTGTGCCTGAGCCACATACTTGCGCTGCTGAGCGTGGTTCTGTATGGTTTTCAAATAAGAACTGCCTTTGGGGCACACTGCACTTTTGTCTGACACTCCACCAACCATCTGTTTTATTTGTCTTATCTCACCCTCTGACAAAGCGAATGGGCTTGCTGTGTTTACAGAAAACCACTCAGGTTGTAGGGGGAAAAAAATCTGACAGTATATGGAACTAAAATAAAACATCTTTCAAAGTTCCAAGATGCCAGATAATGGCAACTATGTAACTCACAAATAGATTTAAACCAAAAAGAAAAAAAGTCCACTTTTAAGTAAGAAAAGTAACAGATTATTTAAACCCACGGAAGAAGTTGAAAGAGTTTGAAGTCAGTGTTACATAAAATAAATTTCACTAAAGTTAAATATTGTTCTAAGAGCACTCTAACTAACCCAGCCTCCTAAGTTTACATCTCTTTATATTCAGTTCCAGGAAACTAAGACAAATACTTATAAAAGGAGGAATGTAGGATGTGTGACAGTGGTTGTGGCACTTGATATTTATATCCAGTCATTCAGCTGCCCCTTTATTGCCTTCCTCTTAAATCTCTCTCCTGTTTACACCTACTTTCTATCTGTACTTCAAAAACCATAACAGATAGTTCATTTGTAGCAGTTTCCCTTTTTAAAGGCTTTTCAGCTCTAATATCTCAAAAGGAAAGCTTCCCAATCAGGCTTAAAAACACATGGTAATGCTAAATGTGTCGTAAATGAGATTTCTACTAGAATTCAAGTTTAAGGGACTCTGATACTTTGTACACCAAGGTTCATAGCAGAATCATGCACAATATCCTAAAGTGAAAACCCCCTGAGAGTTAGTGGTTAGATGACTGGGTTAAAAAAAAAAAAAAGATAGTGGATAGGTGTGCATGCACGCCTGTGGGCACTATGGAATACTGTTCAACCCTGAAAAGGAATGGAATTTTGACACATGCTACAACATGGATGGATCTTGAAGACATTGTGCTAGGAGAAATAGGCCAGCCATTTATGAGAGATACTAAGAATAATCAAGGGCATAGAGACAGAAAGTCGAGTGGGTGGTTGCCAGGGGCTGGAGAGAGGGGGTGATCGGGAGTTATTGTTTAACAATATAGAGTTTCCGTTTGGGAAGATGAGAGGGTTCGGGAGATACTAGGTGGTGATGGTTGCATAACAAGGGAATGCACATGATGATAATCTACCGTGCACCTAAAAATAGTTCAATTGGTCAGTCTTAGTCAATCTTATGTCGTATATTTTACCACAGTAAAAGAAATCAAATGTAGTTATTTGATCCATACCAAATGTTGACAATGCTCTGCTTCTTTCTTGTCTACAATGTCCTGTCACATACCTAGGAAGAGATCATTACACAACAGGAGAGAAGAAACAGCTGTGTATATTGAACAGTATATCCCCATGCGAACAGAAGAATGAGCCAGTATCTAGAGAATTCTCGCTGGGAATTCTGATATTAGTTAAGCCACGTTTTTATTTATTATTTATCTAAATATCTATCTATCTATTTATTTATTTAGATATGGGGAGTGGGGTGGGGGATTGAACTCAGGGGCACTTAATTATTAAGCCACATCCCCAGCCCTTTTTATGTTTTATTTTGAGACAGGGACTCTCTAAATTGCTCAAGGCCTTGCTAAGTTGCTGAGGCTAACTTTGAACTTGAGATCCTCCTACCTCAGCCTCCTGAGCCACTGAGATTACAGGCCTGAGCCACTATGCCTAGAAAGCCACATTTTTTAAAAAAGTAAAGCAATGACTCTTTTGAGGGGCAAGGGGCTGTCAATATGTATTCTAAGAAATTTCTATTACATGGTTTATTTCAGTCTTTTTCTTTCTATGGCCAGACATTTCATAAGTTTGCTTATGAATTAAACAAAATATATTTAATACTGAGCTAGACTTGAAATTATATTTTATTATTGCTTTCCCTAAACAGAACTTTCATAAGCCATAATATGGCTTTTATAATCGACCCTGTTCAGCAGAGTGATTACAATACTAAATTTGTTTGCTTTTTTCCATGTGTGGTAAGCCATTATATAGAGACACTGCTATTTTTATTATGGTGCCATGGGTTGATAATGATTGACTCCAAATAAAGATGAAATTAGACCTTTAGGCTATTCTGAGTCACAAACTTATAATATGTAATTTTTTAAAAGTTTCAATTCGTTTAAAATATGATTTTAATCTTTTTATGTACATTTTCTTTAATGTTCTTCTCATTGCAAAAGCTAAGTATCTATTACAGAAAATCAGAAACTGCTTGGAGACCTAATAAATCCTAGGAGCACACTAGTGCAAAGGCCATGCAGAATTACTACCTGAGAAGCACGGTAGGGTAGCACGCCTGGCTCTAACGGTGTCAATGCCGATCACGTCTATTTGATGCACCCACTTCCTATAGTTCCTGACCCCCCACATACACCTTTTCAGTGGTGCTCCATCCTCTTTGAGACTGATTCCTGTATAGAGACTGTATAGAGAACACTAGGTTTCCTGCCTTCTGATTGGACATAACCCATGGAAGGACCAGCCCTACATCACCAGCATCCTGAAAGAGTATCTACTTCCCAAAGGAATTTAGTATTTCCTTAGGGGCTCCCCCCCCCAAGAGCACACCTTGAAGCAACAACTAGAATGCAAGTAATTTATTTGGGAGGCGATCCCAAGAAATAGTGATGGGGAAATGAGGAAATGAAAGAGAGATAGCAAGAAACCAAAGGGTGTATTATCTACATTGAATCTCTTTGGGAATTTTGGGAATGGCAGTGATAGGCACCTGTGATGAGGTCCACTCCACTCCAAGGTGGAGGCATTGAGGGATTTAGCACCAATTTCCATCTGTCCTTGACTGAGAACTTGACAGAAAACCCAGAGTAGTGTAGGTGAAAAATGTAAGGAATGAGTAACTACAGACTGGGTCAGGAGAACAAGAGAAGAACAGGGACAACCACACAAGGAAGCTGTAAGTACTAAGAGCGCCAGTGAAAGCCAATTTCCGTGGAGTGGTATCGACAGTTCAGTGCAGGGGAAACCTGAGTGCTTCAGAGAAAGAAGTGGAGATGAGATGGGCGTGGTGGCACATGCCTGTAATCCCAGTGGCTCGGGAGGCTGAAGCAGGAGGATCATGAGTTCAAAGCCAGCCTCAACAACTTAGCGGGACACTTAGCAACTCAGCAAGACCTTGTCTCTAAATAAAATATTAAAACGGGCTGGGGATGTGGCTCAGTCATTAAGCACCCCTGGATTCAATCCTCAGTACCAAAAAAAAAAAGTGGAGATGATGTATGCCGATGAGTCTTTGAAAAACTTGAGTCTGAAAGGGAGGAGAGAAAGAAGGCTGTAACCAAAAGGCTGTGGGTTTAGAGCAATGTTTTTCAAACTGGGATCCTTGAAAGTATCCTCTTCTTAATCATAGAAGACCTGAGAATCTTAAAAGGCGCGCGCGCACACACACACACACACACACACACACACACTATATCCCCTGGATACTCACTTATAACTAAATATTGTTTTCAGATGTCAGTTCTTCTGTTTATATTTGTGTTTATAATGAAGTTGCAGCCAGGCAGTAATCCTTGAAAGATCACTTTTAGACAGAAACTGTTCCTGCTGCATCAGAGAAGGAATGGTAGCCATGAGCGAGAATATCAGGGTTGACGAGGAGAAATGCAACCTTGCCACATGCTCTAGACCATAAAGCACTGGGGAGCTTGATGACCACATTCCCAAAGCTTGATTACCACATTCTCATTCATCCTTGAGAAGACATCAAGGTTCAAAGAGAACAAAGAGAAATAAAGAAAAATATTAGGGGTAATAGATTCTTCGTATTAAAACAAGAGCCTAAAGTAAAAGCTTTATCTCGTTTGCCTAACAGATGAGGGCATTGTCTTGAAATTATCTCTGGAAACTTTCAACCATGGATTTATGGCTTTGATTTTCGGAGAGGAAATCTCTTTAGTGGGTCCACGAGGTGTCCAGCAAGACAGTGTGGATGGGCTCTGTAGTGACCATGGCAGTGTTGAAAGTGGGAGCTTGCTAGCCTGGCCAGATGTAAAAGCCACTTTTTTGGAAAAGCCAGAATCTCCCTTTCTTTATGGGAATGCAGGTCCTAAGCAGGATTCCTGTGTTATCTGCAGAAAGCAAAGTGAACTATGTGATAGGTAATCTCAAGGATTCTTAAGATATTTACTAAGAAAGCTGAAGGACACAGCATCAGTGATTAGGATAAATAATCTCAGAAATAATCAGTTAAAAGCAGTCTTATGAAAAACATGGGCACAGAGATAAACACTTTGTTTTAATGGTGCAACAATTTGCAGCTTGTTACAGCATCTTGATCTATTTGCCCATATTTTAAATCATCATGGTTAATGTGTTGATTATATCACGAGTGACCCCAGACAAAACCAAATAGAGATAATTGCTTTTATTTCACGGGGCTGCTGTGAAAACAAGTGAGATAATATAAAAATGATTTAGAAACTCTAAAGTCTATAATTATGAGGCATAATGTGATTGCTTTTTATGTGATTTCCTACATATCATTTTTAATGTTTGCATATTATTTTAACTGAATTGCTAGCATATTTTATTTAATCATTGTCTAATAGTTACTCATTCTTGCTTTTTTGCTTTCATAAATAAAGTTGTTTGCAAACATCTCTGCATTTTAGCATTTTTTTCCCCTTTTGAAATATTTCCTTAGGATGGATTCCTAGTAGAATAAATGAGTCCCAATAGTAGTTGAGACATTCTTCTTTAAATGATGTACATTTTCTTAGTACAAAGAAACCAACAACAACAAAAGAATCTACTTAATTCAGATGAATTAAGATGAATTAAGAAACTACTATTAATTCTGGAGTTGCTAGAAAGTTGGCATATAGAAAGCCATATTAACATAATTTTCAAAAGGCAAGAAATTTTCTCTAATCATGGAACATGTCTTCCAGTGATTTCTTTTTTAGAAAGTGGCAAGATACAGCACGAAATGCAAAGACCCTGACTAGTAACATTCATGTCCAGGTTTGGGGTCCTCTCTTTACAGGAAAATATGGTGGTTTTTTTTTGTTTGTTTGTTTTTTCCCATCTAAGTCTTCATACTCTTTTGTTTCAGTTGGTTTAGAGTCAGAGCAAAGCAGTCTTAATAAAGAAGGGCTTTCTATGTGGCTTTTAGGTTAAAGTCAGTGAGAGGAAAGGGAGATGCAGCAGGTATACATTATACAGAACTGTACTCCTCATAATCTGGTTCCAGTTTTCTGGAAAGATTATGTTAATATTTATAAAGTATATGCAGATTTCTAGACTCCCGGACTGTAAACGCTCTTAACATTTATTTTCTGACACAGTTTTTGGAGGCTTAACAGCTCAAATTGGCAAGATTTTCTGCCTACCATATTATGGACGGAAATTTTGCTTTCCTCTGGCCATTACTTAGGAATGGCTACAAAAATCAAATATCTGATCAAACAAATGTGGTCCAATAGACACTTCCCCCAGGAGAAGTTTCAGAGGAATTTTCCTGATATCACCCATCCATCGAGGGACCAGCATGATTGATGGTCGAATGACCAGCTTGACTTCCCTCTCTGTGCCCCTCCATATACTTCTCTTGCAAATGGTTTGATGGAAAGTTAAGGGAAGGCATAATGGGAAAGCCCTGGCTTCCAGTTAGAGCTGATTTATGGTTTCAGTTTTGCCACCAACTAGCTGTATGACCAGGTCTAAATTACTTAGCCCATCTGGGCCTCAGTTTCTTCCACCATAAAGTTGAGTCTAAGGTGTCTTCCAGCTGACGTTAGGTTTTTATATGGAAGGAAGGCCCTTTTGTGTAAGGTAAGTCACCTTCTATGGTCAAACAACCAGTTAATTGTTCCCAGGTGTTGCTTAATGTGTGCATATTTGAGGTGTGTGGTGGGGGCGGGGTGGGTAGGGTAGGAGGAGATTCCTACTCTTTACACATCAAAAGATAAAACAGTTTAAAAAAAAAAAAAGAAAAGAAAAAAACCCACCATGCTATCTTGTGTTTGGACAAACAGGAATCAGGCCACCCTGACCTCGAGGTCCTATGGAGACTGCCAGGAAGCCCAGAAACTCCGTCCAGCACTGGTTGCTGAGACAGCGTCCTTGGCAGAGCTGAAAGGAAGCTAAGCAGGCAGTGCAGAGAGCTAATGCCCAAAACGGGTGAGCACAGCACTCAGCAGAGGCGTGGCACCAAGCAACTGCTCTCGACCCTGTGTCATTATCAGCCCTGGCAGAAACGGCCAGTGGAGTTATCTAGGGAGTGGGGAAAAAACAAAAACTTAAAAATTTCAAAAAACCCCAACACTTCAATTCCAACTTCATTTCAGATGCATTGATATTTTAAAAAATAAAATAAAATAAACAGTAGGGCTGGGTGTATCTCAGTGGTAAGTGCTTGTCTGGCACGTCCGAGGCACTAGATTCCTTCCCTAGTCCTGCAACAAACAAATAAATAAATACACTGCAACATATCTGCGTGTAGTTAAGGCACTAGTATTCATCAGATCCAGATTCTGGCAGCTGTTTGTTTACATATCCCTTTGATACCTCTCTGGCATGGCTGTTGAATCTGAGACCTCAGCCTGAAGGTGATCCCCAAAGGGCATCGTGAGAGCTGAGAGCAGATCCCAGTGGCTCCTGTCTTCCTGCCTGTTATGGTTGGGATATGAGGTGATCCTTCCCCCCAAAGCTGCTGTGTTGATTCAGAGTGTTCATGATGTTCAGAGTGACATGATTAGATTACAAAACTGTAACCTGATCGTCCTAATCATCCTAAATCAAAAGGACTAACTGGGTGGTAACTGCAGGCAGGTGGGGTGTGGCTGGAGGAGGTGGGTCACTGGGGGTGTGTCCTGGAGGTCTTCCCTGCCCCTCTCCCCACTCTGTGCTCCTGGTCAGCCATGAACACAGCATGGTCCTCCACCACACCCTTCTACCATAATGTGCTGCCTCACCTTGGGCCCAGAGCAATGGAGTCATCCTTCCAAGGACTAAATCTGGAAAACCATGAGCCAAAGTAAACTTTTCCACCTCTGAGTCATTATTGTCAGGTATTTTGGTTACAGCAATGCAAACCTGGCTAACTCTCTGCTGCCCTGCAGCTGCCCTTCCCTTTGGACCCCACTGCCCCATGCCCTAGGCCCTGCCTGTCTAACAGCTTCTGGGTTCCACAGGCTGCTCCCCTCTGTGAATCCCTCTCTATGATCACACTTTCATTTCTCCCTAAAACCTCTCTGGGGGGTTCGCCCTGACCCTGCCTGCTTCTTTCACCTTCTTCATGCCACTCTTAGCTCCAAAGAAAGCCACTTGCTGTGGGCTTTCAAGTGCCCTCCCCCAGCCCTCCACCTTGAAGGTTCTTGTCCCTGCTCCTCAGCCTAATAAACTCTTATACCTGCTTTCCTTCCAGATATTTTATTACTTCCTCCTCTGAGCCACTTTAGCACCCTAGACAATTAGATATCCACAGGAGACTGAATTTTCTTGGAGCCGAGAATTTTATTCTGATTTTTACATTTCAAGTTTGAACACAGAATCTGGTAACTAGTCACTCAGCACATGACAAGTAAATATGTAGACCTGAATTCTCAAAATAAAGTAAATATATAGACCTGAATTCTCAAAATAATCTCATCTTCAATTCCTGTTTAGAACAAGGTAAATAATGATAAAAAAAAATTGTAAACAGACATGTGGAGATGTATATTAACACATGCTCATAATTTGTTTTATGGAGATTCATCTTGGAGCAAGGAAAAATGAGACCAGATGTTCTAGTGTCCCTTTCCATTTCAAAGGTCTTATGTGAAAGGAAAGCCCCTCAACACCCTACCCCTACTCACCCTCATGAATTCCTCCTATACTTGCTAGCAACCATGGACTCATTTAGGTTAACAAGTGACTCTTTAAAATTCCATCACTTGTTTGGGAGGCTAAGCCTTATTCAACACTTAGTACAAATCATTCTAAGTGGAAATCTTTCTACAGAGCTACTTTGCCAGAGACAGTGAGCATTGGAGAAGCGTGTTTTGAATGGAGGGCTCTTTCCTGGCGTCTAAGACACAGCGTTAATGCTAATCCATGCTCCTGGGCTGCAATCCACTGTTGGCCCAGGTTCCTGGCCCCGTGGGAACATAGTCCCCATAATGGGAAGAGCCTGGGCAACTTTGCCAGACTAAGCTGGTGTCAAATCCTGGATGTCACTAGAGGCTTTCTGACTTTGGGGAAGTTACCTAACTTAGCAGAGTCTCTGTTCTCTCGCCAATGAAATGGTAATAAAATAACAGAAACCCTGAGATGAGAAGCTTAGGGTCTAGTAGATCTTTGGGTGACTCTGGGACCCTGAGAACTGCTAGAAGTCTGGTTATTGTTCTGACCTGGGAGTGGGGCGGGAAGGGTGATGTGTTCACAGCAGAGGCAGCCTGGGAAGTACCAGTCAGGTGTGGCACACTGTGGAGTCCTAATCTGCTGGGGCACATGGTATCCCGTGCGGTCCATGACAATCTTCAACCCACAGCCAGCCAAAGGGGGCACTGGATGATTAGATTTTTGGGTCCACTCCCTCTTCCCATTGAGGATCTTTGCCATTTCTAGCAAGCTGAGCTGGGGAAGTACATAGTTATAAAAGCATGAAATATAAGTTGTTCTAATTTAGTCCCTGGTACTTCTCCTTTCCTTCTACTCCTTCCTCCCTCTGTTCCCTTCCTTCTACTCTATTAATCTTTATGCTATTGATTATTTTTTAAAGATCTTCCAGGGAGTCTAATAACTTGGTTAGGTGTTATTTTTGAATTTTTATTTATTTTTAATTTTTGGTCCATTGAGGCATTTTATTCGCATATATGTTTTACAATCCTAGAAAAAGAATCCCTGGACTTTCCATCATCTTCTTCTTGGTTCCTGATGCCAGCTAAGGTTGTCAGGATAATGAAACAGAGCTGACAGGAAGGGAACATTTTAGTCTGCCATTTTCCCAGATATTAGCTACACAGAAAATCTGGGGCCTATCACTCCACACTTGTTTAACCACCTGTGAGGGTGTTTTGTTTTGCTTTGTTTCATTTTTTGTGATGGTGTTGGGAATCAAACCTAGGGCCTCATACATGCTATGCAAGTACCTTACCACTGAGCTACATCCTCACCTCTCCTGTGAGGTTTATAGCAATTCTCCCAGCTCTGTTTTCCTTTGTAATCTTGCTTCGTCACCCCTGTTAGAGACCAGATGATGACTTCAGAGCAGGGCCTGGTAAAGATGTGGCATTTGCCCCCCTTTTCTGCATTACTGATGCTCTTGAGGGCATCAGTCAGACGTTCACATGTACCATTACGATGGCATTATACGGTGGTGGACCGTCAGCTTTTAGAACCACTGATGTAGATGAAGGGGGTTGGGTGGGATGAAGAGGATTCTGTCAGGGTGTGTGGGCACAGAGGGAAGTAGTGGTGCAAGAGAAAGCCTCAGAGCTTCTCCTTTTTTCTTTTTCTTTTTTGTTTAATTTTTTTCATTGTCAATGGAACTTTATTTATTTATTTTTATGCAGTGCTGGGAATTGAACCCAGTGCCTCACACATGCTAGGCAAGCGCTCTACCACTGAGTCACAACCCCAATCCAAGAGCTGCTCCTTTGATTATTCATTCAGCTATGTTGGCATGAGTGATAGCTTTGGGAAGTTTAAACAAACAAAGCTGCTTTTGAGGAAGAAGAAATTGCTATCATATTAGATATTCTAATACTTTAGATGCAAATAATCCATCTAATACTTTAGATGCAAATAATCCATCTAATACTTTAGAGGTAAACCCCTCCCTCATTGTCTGTCATTATTTATTATTATAGCACTCATGTTTATTCTCTTAACGGCATTCACCACCTTAGCAATTATTATGCCCATTGCCTCCTCCCACTAAAATAACACTTGGCTGTGCCTGTGTAAGAACCAGGTTGGTTGGTCGTGCTTGCCTCTTGTTCAGTTAGAGGCTCTTGATGCATACTTGAATGAATGAAACAAATATAGTACTCAATGAACTGATCAACTCTGCTATGCCATCAAAGCACTTTCAACCTCATAGCCCCAAAGGTGTTCATCAGTTTCCCGTCACTGTAATAAAATATGTGAGATACAGAACTTATAAAAGATAAAAGGTTTGTTTGAGCTCATAGTTTTGGAGGTCCCAGTTTATGATTGATTTGCATCGTTGCCTTGGGCCTGTGGCAAGGTGGCACATCATGGTGGGTGTACATGGTGGAGCAAAACTACCCATCTCATGGCCATAGAGGAAAAAGAAGAGAAAGGGTTTCCACAATCCCCTTCAAGTGCACTGCTCCAAAGCTCTAGGACCTCCTTCAAGGCCTTGTCCCTCAAAGGTTTCCCTACCTGCCCACAGTGCTACCCTGTGGAGCAAGTCTTTAATACATGGGACTTTCAGGGACATTCAACATACAAACTGTAGCACCAACTGAGCAAGAAATATAAAGGGGAGAGCAGTCTTCTTACAGTGGGAAGCTGCTGAACTGTTAGGATTGAGAGAATTTTGGCAGTGGAACAGGGGTGTGTGGGGTTTGCATGAGCCAGTCATGGTTAGTAGTGGCCACACTTACCCAGGTGGTAGACACTTTTGCAGGGCCGCAGAGCAGACCCATTCATCAGGCAAATTCAGAATTCTTACATGAATAAGAGATGGGCACTTGGAGCTAATGAAATCTGAATATGAATACAACCTCATCCAGAACCTCCCATCTGGTGAGGCTTGGATTAAGACACATTTATGCTGCTCTCCAGGTAGAATTCTGTGTAGAAAGAGCATAGAGTTTGGAAAAGAATTGCATTCAAATTCTGCTCCACTATCTGGTTGATCAACCAAGGGAAATTACTTATCAGAGCTTTGGCTTCATCATCTGAAAACAGAAGAGTGATATTTATCTCATGTATTATGCAAAAGTGCCTCATAAAATGCTTGCACGTAGCAGCATTTAATATATGTTAACTCTTCAATCTACAATCTCTTCAATCTACAATCTGCACTCCTTTATGCATTCTCTTTCAAATCTTTTCTTTAGTTACAGTTTAGCTCTTAACCTTCTCATCATTAGAAGAAACACATGCAATTACTTTTACTTTTTGTTTGTAACATTTGATTGGG